GCACATGTAATAAAAAGTAAATGAATAAAATTTTGTGCACTATCAGTATATGCTCGTGATAATTGTTCAATTAAATTTAAAGTATTCTATATGAGAAAAACAGAAAGTCGAATTTAATAAATGAAAAAAAAACGTTAAACAGACTTGTAATTCTTTAATATTATTGGATTGAATAACTTCAGTGAGAAGAAAAGCTAGAGCTGTATTCAAATGTTCAATTAAATCATCCAGACCATTTTGAGATTCTGTAAAAAAAACGAAATTATTGTTTGAATAAATACATTTAAAATCTACAAACCAGTTGATGATATATTTGATGTATTACGATATTTAAGAATAATTCGAAGTGTTGTTGAACAACATTGATAAGCAACTTGAATATTATTATGTATAGTAAACATTTGTAGAAGGTTTTTCAAATCTAATTTATAATAATAATAAAAAAAGATCTTTTTGTCTTTTTCTTTTAATACCTGCAGCACGCATTGGAGAAATATAACCACCTCCACTAATAAGTGTTTCAACTATTCGTAAAACTTGTAATCGTACAAAATCATCATTACTATTATTTGCAAATTGAATAAGATCCTATTGAGAAAAAAAAATGAGAATTATATAAGAAATTTGTAAGTCTCTTACTTCTGTTGTAGAATCAAGCCAGACAATTGGACCACATCGAGCAATAGGAACAAGATGATGAAGAATTAGCTTTCGACAATTTTGACGTGGTTCAAGTTTAAGAAATTTAAGAAAAAATGTTACCTATTCAATCTTGACAATTTAATAATAATTAAAAAGAGACAAAAGAATTACTTACTGTTTCCCCAATTTCAATATGACTTTTAACAGCTAATCGAGCTAATGTTGGAACAGCTATTTGAAGAAATTCTTCTGTTGTATCATTAGTCATCAATGATATTAGCAATTGACGTCCCTATAATAATTAAAATTTCTAACCAAACGATTTTTCTTCAACTACAATATATACTTTCATTGAAACAGTTGAATCATGTGTCATATGTTCAAAAAGTGGAATAAGCCAAGATTTAATAGTTAATGGTGTAGTTAAGTCTTCAATTAATGAAACAAGTTTTATACTAATGGACATAGCAAATGTTCTAGAAACAAAAAAAATAGTCATATATATTCTTTTTTTTCGAATAGTTTTATTTTCAATCTACTTTGAACATGGAATAAATTTTTTTGCAGCTTTTACAGCAGCTAATATTTCAATTTCATCATTAGAATCTAATGCAAGACGAATATGTAAATGTGCTTCAACATCATCAGCTAAAATATGTGCTAACATAGCAAGAGCTCTAAATAATATACATATACATCGAAAAATTGAATAGAAAAATTCAAACAAAAAACCTTAATGTTAATGCTCGTGCAATACAATCATTACTATGCATGACGGAATAAATCAATTTAATAGGATCATCTAACATCGATGATTTTTGTAATTGATTTGCCAATCGATCAAGTACTTTTGTTACATTTAAACGCATTTCATTTGTTCTAAATAAAATAAATTTTTCTGTAACTATTTTTATATACAAATATAATGTACCCTTCTTGAAAAAGTGTTGCCAATTTAATAAATGCTGCTGAAAGTAGCGTTGTTGATGTTGTTTCTTTTTGAAATAGACCAGGCATTCTTAATATAGCCTCAAATTGTCGTTGAGGTTCTTTTGAACGAATACCTGAACGAAGGGAGATACGAAACAAGTCAAGTACATATATACATATAAACACTCAAACAAACCTCGATCAATCTCAACCCATAAACGATTAGGGTCATCACTATAACTCGTAGTTTGATTATTTAAAAGCATATCCATTGTGAGAGAGATATATGAAATCTATTTCAATAAATGATATAGAAATAGTATATATTAATTGATGATTTTTTTTTCAAAGCAATGTAAAGAAGACAAAACAAGTTAACAAATATCATTGACAAAAAAAAGAGAGAGAAAATAAACTGACAAACAAACAAACAAACATTCTCGAAATTTCTATTGTATAATTATTCTGCTCAGTTTTTCATTAAATATGTAGATGTAAGAAGGTTTAAGTAAGACAAGAGAAGACACCATAATAGGAAAAAAGAATAAATTAGAAAAACAACATTTCATTAAATATATCATTAACTCGTCCTTCATTCAAAAAAAAACATGAAAAAAAAGGAAAAAAAAGATTAGAACAACAACGCAAATCGATTGTATTCAACAATTATAAAGATATATGACTAGAAATGAAACAAACTAGTGACATAGAGAATTCATTATTAATTTAACAAACACATAGAATGACTAAGATTTTATTGCATGTTTATTCAGATAAACAATGTACGATTTATCACTTGTATATATGGATTCTATTGTGTTGACTGTTGTTTATATTTACGGGTTATTTTTTCATTTCAGTGGTTCAATAAGAATCTATAAGAAAAATAAATTAAAAGATAAAATATATCATTTATCAAGTGCGAGGAAGTAGTCCATTCATCGAAAAATCAGCATCTTATCTCATTCAAAGAATCGTTTTTATTGCATCTAAAAAGTACATTTAGTCAACTCTTCTACTCATAAAGTCTCAACTACTTAGATTATTTTATGAAGTCATACATATATTTATGACTTTGTATTCAACATGATTTGTAATAAGCTATTAGTCAGCTAAATATTTATTTAAAGTACAATTTTTTTATTATACCTCATTCAATATCACCCATGCATCTGATTTTGAATGTACTTTTAAGCGAACATTTGATATCGGTCCAAGTACTTTATCAACAAATGCTTCAGCAATACCAGTATCATGTGAAAAATTTGCTACTGTAAAATATCCATCACTATCTTTAATATAGTTTAATTTTTGTTTTGGTTGTACATATGGTTGTAGATCAACAGTTGTATTAAAAAATTTGTCTCCTGGATGTTCAGGATTACCTGATTTAAAATAAACTCTATGAAAAAAGAAAATAATATTTTATTTTTTTTTTATGTTTTCAATTGAAATTACCTTGATAATAAAAGTGGTGGATCATATTTTAATACAATAGTATCATCTTTTTTAGGTTGTAATGCCCAAAAGAAATTTTGTCCTGCATAACAATTTGCTAATGTATGTTTATCATAATCTTTTAATGTTGATACAATCGATGATACAGATGGATTTTCATGTGATTTAAATAATTTAACATTTTTACCAAAATCTTTATCTTTTAATTTTTGTATTTTACCCTTTAATGATGAATAAATTCCAATATGTTGAAATAGAGATGGACGAAAACGAAAACGATGTAAACTTTTTGTTCTTGTACATGATTGAACATCAGCACCAAATGAACAATATTTTGTATCTTGATAACTAAATATCAATTGAAATGAAATATTATGTCAAAAGAAACAAGATTTAACTTACTATTCAAGTAACCAATCAATAGGTTTATCAGCAGAAAACATAAGAAAAAAGTTAACAAGTGCATTTAATTCAGCTGTATGAAACATTTTGCCAATAAAACCTTAACAAAAAAAACACAATGACATATATATAATTCGGCTTCATATTCTCTGACTTGTTAGATAAATAAATATGTTATGGGATTGATTATACTACTCTCATTAACTTAATTAGCAATATAAACATACTATGAGAAGAAAAAAAGGACTGGGGGGTGACTGTTAAAAAATCAGAAATTCTCGTTTTTTTTTTACCAGTCACCCCCAGTTCTTTTTTCTTCCCGTTTAATCGATAGTAAATTTAAATGACTTGAAGGACTGGTGCATACCTACTTCCAGAATTCTTCTGAGATTGGTAATAAAAAGTTAACCATTTATATAAAATCTTATATTTGAAGTTCTATATACATCAGGGACATTGCTTAATACAATTCAATCAATCATCTCGTGACTAAATATCATTTATTGTTTACCTCGACGTCATTGAAATTCTACTGGGATTTATTTTTTTAATATTCTATCAATCTTATCATTAAGTCTAACCTTCTACAAACTATGTTGATCACATTCAGACATGTCAAATAATATTTTTCTGTTTCAATGAAAATTACCTAAACTTGAATATTCTAACATAAACCAATCTTGATCTTTTTGTTTATTGATAAAACTTTCAATAATTTGAATATATGCAGGTTTAGTAACAACATCATCTTCTAATTGTATATAATATTTTCCTCGTATTGATGAATACATCATTAAATAAGTAAAATCATAATTTTGTTTTGTACGCCATTTAACACGTTGTTTATCATCATTTAAACTTAATTTTAAATTATCAAAATCAGGATAAAATTCCATTGGTGGACTTATAATTTCAATTAAACCATTCTCAATATATTTATTATAAAGTTTTTCTATTTGTTGTGCTGTTGTTCGAACATATTCAATATCTAATGGTTCAGCAATAAATATAACGATTAATGAACGTTCCATATCATCATTATTTAAATTATCAATTAAAGATTTAATTGTTTCAATAAGATAAGATTGTTTATCACGTTTAACCGTTGGTATACCAATAATAAATGAAACATTTGATCGTAAAGAATTTGTATTTGTTGTTTGACGACGAAATGCTGGTGATAACATATCATATCTACCGGAAAGATGTTTTAAATAACTAAAACTAGGTGGTAAATGAAAACCATTTTTTAATGAATCAACTGTATTATCATTAAATGTTTCATCTGTTATTGTACTATTAGATATTGAATTTGTTGAAATATTATTACGACGATGACAAGCTTTTATTGAATTAAATGAACGAATTAAACGAATATTTTGTTGTTTTATACTTGATAGTTCTTGTAAATGTTCATCATTAAGACGTGAAACATAATCAATACGATTTTGTAATGTTTCAATTGTTTGTCTTGTTTGTTCTTCATAATGTTCTATAAATAAAGAAACCTTTTAGCATAATTGTTTCTCTTTGTTTAATAAATTTAAACTTACGTTTTTGTTGTAAAACGAATATTAATGCAAGCACAACAATGATGGCTATCGCCACAATACCGTATCGCTGGGTCCATCTCATATGTGCTACATAGCACAGTAAAGAATCTTAAAAATAATGTATAACTTATTTTCTTTTTTTTCTCTTAAATATTGTTTGTGTCTACGAAAAGAATCGTAGATGAAGCTGTAAAATATTGTGATACGCTTATGGGATATAGATACAGTCATGATTTTGTATATATATATATATGTTTGATAAAGAACGAAAAATGTATGCGATATATCTGTGAATTCAAGCAATATAAAACGATTGAAAGAAAAACAGAACTAGAACAGATGTCAAATATTGACATATTATTCATCATGTTCATTTTTTTACAACCTGAAAGGTATCAGTAAGAGAATATTATTTTAGTTTTATTTGACATGCAACATTCAAGTGACCTAAGGGAAATTTAACGATTATTATATAACTTTGTAAGATTAGTTGAATTAAGTAGTAGAAGAAGAAGAAGAAGAAGAATTAGATGTCGTTTTTATCTTTGATTTAATCATATATGTACACATATACTCACATCGTTTTGATAGGGAACCTATCGAATGCACCATGTCTGCATATTTAAAGCTAATGAAACAGTAAAGTATAAAAAAAAATATACTTCGTCAATTGACTATAAAATAGAAAAGTATATTATGCATACTAAACAGAGAATCATTTCTACTGTCGTTTAGTGCGTGTGAAAAAGTACATTAAGATGGAAATATAATTATTTTTTTTATTCTCTTTCTTTCACTGATAACATAAATTAGATAAATTGATTGTTGTTTTTAGTGTATTTTCTTATTGACATTAGCATGATAGAGGTTACAATAGGATAAAAAGACTGTAGAGGGCGTACAACGTCGAATAGCAAAGAATTGTGACTATCGTCTTTTTTGACTTACAGGAATAATAAAAACACTAATTTGAATAAATCGACGGATATAATTATTTGTTTTTGATGTTATTGGTTTGTGATTATGAATACATAGTAATTTGGTATAAGTAAAGGGTACAAATCGAAAAGCAAACAGCAAAAAACGTATTTCTTTCCTATATTCGATCTAAATGGTAATCGGCATTTTATTGATATGCAATAACCTTGTTATTTAACTAAAAGAGAAAAAATATGCGTTTTTTCAAGTTTATCAAACGAATATTTACATACCTCTTGAGTATTTACTTCTCTTCGTATAATATAGTCAAAAGAAACTTGAAAATCTTCAAATATGAGAAAATATCTTTAAGTATATATCAAATAATATATTTTAATAATATAAAATCTTTTTATTTTAAGAATGTTTTTATAGATGAAACACAACAAAAATTATTATTCAATCATAATAGTTTGTCCGATAATATTAAAGCCAATTCATTTTTGGAATCATAGCTTTTTGTTTGTAAAGTTCAGCGAGTACTGTTTGAATACCTTTGATATTATTCATAATATCTTTTGTTGAAAAATAAATATTACCAAGGGCTAATCGATCACGCATTGATCTAGTTACATTTACTTGACGAGCTATTTCTCTTGCTTCATATTGAACAGCACCTTGTGCCATTTTATATGCAGCATTTCCAGCATAAACATGACGTCCTTTAGTAGATTGATTTATCCACCAATTAAGTAAAACAGGATAAGATTGTGCTGGTGGGTCAATTGGCCAATACAGTTGTGGTGCCATATAATCAACTAAACCTTGTTCTAACCACATTCGACTATCACAATATAAACTATCATACGACGAAAGACCACTTATACCAGCTGGCACTCCACTTCTCCAGATACCAAATGGTGAAACACCAAATTTTACTTTTGGCCGAATAATATGCATTCGTGTGTACATTGCTTCTATGAGTGTATTGACATTTGAACGACGCCAGTAACTTTTATTTAGTAGTCCACCTTGTTGTTGATAAGCAACATATGTTGCCTCATCAGGAAATTCAGTTCCATCACTATATGGATAAAAATAATCATCAATATGAATAGCATCCACATTATATCGACGAACTATATCATCAGTAACATTAAGTGTAAATTGTTGAACTTCGACTGAGCCAGGATCCATCCATATATGATTATCATATGGATATGCATATTTTGGAAAGCGTTTAGCCATATGATTAGAAGCTAATTCATAGGTAGCACCTGTCATACGAGCACGATATGGATTAAGCCATGCATGTACTTCAATATTTCTTTTATGTGCTTCACTAATAATAAATGTCAATGGATCCCATAATGGTGATGGTGCAACACCATGAGTACCAGTTAAATAGAAACTCCATGGTTCTAATGTTGATGCATAGAAAGCATCACCAGCAGGACGAATCTATATTTTTATAAATGGAATGTTTTTTTATTTGTTGCAAAAGATATTACTTGAAAGATAACAGCATTCATATTTAATCGTTGAACTGTATTAAGAATATGAATCAATTCTGTTTGTTGCTGATATGGTGTAATTGTTTTCGATGATGGCCAATCAATATTATTTACTGTAGCTATCCATATAGCTCGAAATTCTTCTTTTATTGGTTCTAATGAAAAGCAACATTGGATATTAGATGGTTGTGATTCACAGAAACCAGTAAGGTATAAAGAATTTGGACAGTCATTCTGATGAATACATTGACCAAAACCATATTGTGGATGATTATAAGTATCACATGAATCTCCTTTAACTTGACAACATAAAAAACTTAATAAATAACAAAAAAAGATTGCTATTGCATGTAACTTCATTATTTATGTAAAATCAAAATATAATGGCCTTTTCACTACTTCGTTACCTTTATACTTTTTTTTGAAGATAAATATCATGTTAATCCTTATTTTAAAAACAAATTAAATAACTGAGAATCCTTCAATAATTGAAACTGTGAGGGAGGAAAAAAAATGGGGATTAATAATAATTGAAGGATTGATATAAGATAATAAGATTTGAAATTCGATCGTTACTTTGAAATTGAAAAAAAGAATATTGGTTATGGAGAATCGACCTAAATAATTGATGAGGATGTGAGTTTTTATCATTTCTTCTGCCACACATACACCCTCGTCTTAATGAACTATATTGATATTGTTAGCTGACTATTTAATTACATAATGATAAAACATTGAATTTATCATAAAAAGCGTTAAAATTTATATAACGTTATAAGAACATACATATTTTCTAAACCTGTTTAAAAGTTTTGTTTATGGTTGAAAATGATCGTTTCAAGATCGAAAATTTTGATTAAATTGCTACATTTATTGCATGTATTTTAGTTATCAGTTTAGCTTTATTTTCTACTTATTGATCATTGGAGCAAACAGATTCATGTGTACATTTAGTTGAACAATTATTCATTAATAGTTCAGTTAATATAACATCTGGAGGGTGGGTGTGGGTGTGGATGTTGTTATAGTAGAAGTAATACCTGCACTCACATCCGCCCAAGATTTCATATATATCTATTGGTGCAGTCTTCAATATCTTGAAACGCAAGTGTGCATATACACACGATTATGATACAAACAAAAACAAAAGAATTAAAAGAAAATATAAAAATGATATAAATCAAGAAATAAATGATAATGTGTATCAGTGGTTTGTTGTTCAAAGAGAAAAAAGTATTCCAATATCTAGTCCTGTGCTCCAGGAATATGCTCGAGAAATTGATAAACAACCCAATGATTCAGACAAATTCAAAGCAAGCAATGGTTGGCTCGAGGAATTTTGAACACGCCACAACATAAGTTTTAGGGAATTTTCTGGTGAAAGTCGAGCAGTTAATCAAAACACAATTATTGATTGAAAATTTCGATTATGCAGTTTTATAGGACATCATGATTCGGCAGATGTATTTAATTGCGATGAAACCGGTCTATTCTACAAAGCTATGCCTGATAAATCATTTACTATTAACAAAAATGATTGCAAAGGTGGAAAAAAGTTGAAGGAACGAATGACTGTAATATTGTGCACAAACTGGACATGTGCTTAAAGATTGAAACCTATTGTTATTGGTAAGTAAGTTTTCGTCAACTCTTATTTATGATTTAGGAAAATCTGCGAGACCCAGATGTTTTAAAAACCTTGGCATGAAGAAATTGCTAGTTTTATGGTACAGCAATCACACATCATAGATGATCTCGAAAGTGTTTACTAATTGATTGCGAGATCTTGATTTCATGATGCGAAAAGAAAACGACATATTCTTCTTTTCTTAGACAATGAACCAATTCATGCTCCGGATCTAGAATTAGAAAATATTAAATGTAAATATGAAAACATTGTTCATCGACAGTTCAAGAAACGTTTATACAGTTACTTGGTCAGTATATTCATTTATTGCAAATTATAAATGATTTTTCATTATAGAAATTATTCATTCGTTTATAGTAATTGTTCTTATAAACGCTTTAATGTGCATACATTGGGTTTATCAATGTATTATTAGTGAATGAGTAGGTAAAGAAAAAATTATGACAGGAACTTCCCACAACGATGATTCTTGAAGCAGTATTTCGTGAATTTTCGGCTGGAACCCATAGGAAACACACCGTTTCTGGTCGAAACCAGCAGGAGAATGTCAGAAATTTGACGAAAGAATCCAGTGGCCGGATTCCTTCATCGAAATACTGCTTGCATGAAATCTTCGAAATAGTCTGGACCGGCCGTTTCCGGGCTGGATTGTTCGACCTGGGTTGATTACTTTTATTATAAGTTACCTTCATCTTGAAATATATGGAAGCTTCATATGCAAATCAAATAAGAACAAGAAGTTGTTTAATATTAATCTACAGTTATTCATATTTATTACCAATGGTAAGACTCTTTTCGCAGAATTTAAGCGTTTAGCTTTATTTCTCCTTCTTTTCGTTCTAAGTACTGATCTCAATTTTTATAATAATAAGAATCATCGATTTTATCCGTTCCTCAACAAAAATTTCTTTTTTTATAATTACATAATTATATATTTATTTATATATCTTACGTATTTTGGGGTTTTAACAATTGAAAAAAGTTACTTGGTTTACATATTAAAATGGAGACATAATGATACACAAATCAACACACCACTATACAGTTCTGTTGTAAGCATGTTCATTTATTTAAAATCATAAATGACTTTTCATTATAGGAGTTATTCGTTCGTTCAGTAATTATTCTTACAAACGCTGTAGTATGTATACAATGCGTTAAGGAAGGCATTTTTATTGAAATAGTAAGTAAAGAAAAAATTCTCACAGAATTTTTATTAAATGTTTTAGGAACTTTCATTGGCTATCTTTGGAGTATCCATTGTAGATATGTGTTGATATACATTTAGTAGAGTGCAGTTAAATAATTTAACTGAAAATGAAACAACAAACCAAATTATTGAGTCAGTTCTATAAAAAGTAAAACAAAAACAATATGTTATTTTTATGTAGGATTCATTAATTTTTTTCCTTGTTTGTCAGATATTTTTCTTGCTGTTTTTCTCCATTTTTATGTTAGGTGATTTTTTTGATTTTTTTTAGATATAAAAAAAAAGAAAACCATCATTGACGCATTCTTATCATTTATAAGTAAACAAAAAGAAATCTTAATTAAACTGTGAGCATTTTCTTGTTCAATAAAAATAATTCAAGAACTTATTTGTCAGATTTGTTTTGAGAGTAGTAAGAGAACCTATGAAAAGGCTTTAAAAGATTATTTGGATGGAAAATTTGCCGTGCATTTTCGTATTTTCACTATTGGGATTCGAAACTAAAAGTTGGGACCTTAATTAATATACCAGTTTGTAGCAAAAGTTACTATTTCAGTTCTATTTTTTGTCTTTCGGCAAGGAAACTCAATTTTTACTTTTTCAACACTCTCATTTTTGAAAAATCGACTTTTTCACCGGAAATATTTCACAAAGAAAGGATCTCTTGACAGAATGCATATAGCTTCACTTGAGTGAAAGCTACAGCTTATTGCAAATTTGTATTTTGTAAAGAAGTACTCGCTCTACAATACTACCGAGTTCGATAACTTTTAGCATCCTTGGAAAGAGACTTATAGAGATTAGCAAAACCTATTGTTCGTCGTCCAAGCTAATCCTTTTGGCATCAACAAAAATTCCATTACTACTCTCAACCAAAAAGAGGCACAGAATTTCTAGATATATTCAGAAAGAACTTAAAATTCTGGTTATAGATAACCATTTTTAACCTATGTGAAATACTTTCAAACATATCAAATAAGGGTGTGGGTGTAGGTATAGTTTTGGGTACGATTGAGTGAAATCAAGAGTGCAGTGATGGATGAAATAAAATATTCACACCTACCCGCACCCACCCTAAAGTATTGGATTAAAAATCGTTATAATATTAATTCAAATCATGCAAAAAGAATTAATCCTTTACGACAAAGAAAACTTTTATTAAGAATTCTTATTTTACTTCTATGTAGTTTAATAAGTCAACATTCAAATGTGATTCCATATCGTTTTATATCAACACATATTGATCCATTACGTTTACTTATTGTTAATAAATATAATCCAAAATTTACTATAATTAGTTATATTATACTTGATGATCGTTTACCAATTACAATATTAATTATATGTAATATATATGTCTTCTATATCGACTAAGACGTTTACCAACAATAATAAGTAAAAAATTAGCTGATTCAATATATATTCTATTTTTTCTAACAATATTTTCCAGAATATATCACTGATACAATTATTTCATTCATTTCAAGGTATGTTTATATAACATGTTTTTTAAGTTGTCGTGCATTACATAAAGATTTAATACGAAATCTTCAAATTATATTTCATCGAAATAACAATGTATTAAAAACTGTATCTCAAGAACGCTCGTAATCTTTAAAAAAATAAAACTTTTGTTCTCTTTTGTCATAACATAAATATCAATTTCCTATTAAAGAAAGAAAAGGTCATATATTGTTATCTATATTATATATCAAACGTGTTGCTCTTTGAAAAAAAAGGATGAATATATATAACGATAATGAAAATTTGTTTTGTTCTCACAGAAATATGAATCAAAATAAGATAGTTTATATTGGATCAGGTCTTGCTATTGCAATTGTTTTATTTATTGGTGGAATTCTTATCGGTCGTTTTGCTATACCAAGACCATCAAATACGATTGATATATCAACAGAAACTAAACATTCTGAAGAAGAATATATAACCATATGGAATAATTTCAAACAACAATTTCTTGATTCTATTAGTGCACAAGAAATTGAAAATAATCTTCGGTTAGTAACTATCATTTATTGATATTAACATAGAGCTATGTAAATTACTATAGAGATTATGCTCAACAAACTCAGTTAGCTGGAACAGATGATGATCGTCTTGAAGCGGAGATCATTGCTGGTAAATGGCGTGGACATGGATTAGATGTAACTATTCATCCATATGATGTATTACTTTCATATCCAGATCCAATTCAACCAAATATGTAAATATTTCTTTTTGAATTGAAATCTTATATATGATTTTTCTATTCGAAGTGTATCAATTTTTGATCCAAATAATAATTTAATATTTCAATCAAATGGAAGTGAATCTATATTTAATGAAGATGATAAATCATTACCATTTCATAAAATCGTTCGACCATTTCTTGCTTATACAACGAATGGAACTGTACGAAGTCAAAAATTATTTTATGTTAATTATTGTACAATGGATGATTTTCGTTTTCTTGAAACTGTATTGAATAAAGATGAATTAAATAATAGTATTATTATTTGTCGATATGGAAAAATTTTTCGTGGAAATAAAGTAAATATGATCAATAATAAAAGTTGATTTTTTTTATTCCTCAACTTTAATTAGATTAATATTGCTGAAAAATATGGTATAATTGGAGTTATTTTATATAGTGATCCAATTGATGTTGTACCAAGTTCAAATATATCTAATTTAACTTATCCAAATTCTATCTATATGCCTGAAATGGGACAACAACGTGGATCAGCATTGACTCTATCTGGAGATCCATTAACAGTACATTATCCTGCTAAAGGTAATTATCTAAATTTAAGATTAATATTAATATAATATTCATTGTAGATTATATGTTCAGAACACCAATAGATAATAATCCTAATTTACCAAAGATTGTTGCTCAACAAATAGGTTATAAAGAAGCGAGAGAAATATTAATGTAGGCTATATTAAATGACAATTGTCAATTAAGTTTTATTCTTTTAGTCGAATGACTGGAATATCTGTTATATCGAATTGGACTGGTGGTTTTCATCAAGTGAGATATGTTTATGGTGGTTTTCTATCAGATAATTTGTAAATACAATTGATGATTTTTAAAATTAAATTAGTTTTAAGTTATAATAATAGATCTATACAAATATCATCATATAATACATTACAAATACGACGTATACATAATGTAATTGGAACTATTACTGGTCATATTGAACCGGGTATGTGTTAAGAATTTAAAAATTATTTCAAGTTAAAGATCGATTTATTTTAGATCGCTATGTACTTATTGGAGCTCATTTTGATGCTTGGAATTTTGGTGCTCTTGATAATGGATCGGGTACAGCTGTTAATCATGAATTAACACGTGTATTTGGATCATTAATAAAATCGAGCATGTTATTTCAAAGTATTAAGAATATTCATTATTTCTTCATATTTAGACTGGAAACCAAGACGAAGTTTAATGTTTTGTGCTTGGGCTGCTGAAGTAAAATAATTGAATGAACAAAAAAAAGAAATTATCTGTTTTTTAGGAGTATGGTATTGTTGGATCGGTTGAATTTGTTGAAGTAAAGAAATTTAATATATTATTATTCTTAAATTAAATTCTTTTCTATTTAACAAGGAATATGCTAAAATCTTAGGTTCACGTGTTGTTTCATATCTTAACATGGATGTTATTGTCGAAGGTAAATTACTGATATTTATTGATATTTATTCTATTTTAATATAGGTACTGAATTAATGTTTATGGAAATGTCTCCATTACTTTATGATTTTTCTATTGAAATATCTAAACAAGTATGAATAATCATTTTTATTTTTGAAAAATAAAATCTGCTATTAATCGAAGGTCAAAGCACCTTATACTAGTGAAACAATTTATGAACAATGGATACGTCATAATAATGGTGAGAAAGATGTTGGAAAAACGTTTTTGTAAGTTATATTAAAAGAGAAATTAGAAATTTTATTGATGTGTTTATAGTACAATGGGGCTTAGTGCTAATTCGGATTATGCTGGTTTTAATCAAATTGTTGCAAGTTCAAATCTTGCTATGATTTATAAAAATCAAGTTAGTATTTATTATAAAACGAGATATTATTAAAAGATTTTTTTATTAGACTATTATTAAAAATATTGGTACTTATCCATTATATCATACTCAATATGAAACATTTCGATTAGTTAAAGAATTTATTGATCCTGAATTTCAAGTAAGTTAAACTTTAACAAAAAAAATAGAATATATTTTTTTTTTGTGTATAGACACATCAAGCAATTGCACGAGTTATTGGTTTAGCAGCATTCACTCTAACGGATATTGATTTACTTCCATTCAATCCTGAAAGATACCATCAAGCACTCGTTGATTTACTTGCTTTAACAAGATCTGTTGCACCTCAATCAATTAATTTTAGTAAGTATATACAAATTTTTTCTACTATATTCATAATCTTTGATTAATATTAGCATCACTACAAAATGCAATCGATCAATTTAAAAATGCTGCTACACAATTCAACTATCGAATTCAAACTACACTTGATAAATCAAAGTAAGATTATTATATTAGATCTCATCTCTGAGGTTTAAAATACTTATTTTAGTCCAATACAACTTCGAATAGTTAATGATCAATTAATGCAAGTTGAACGAGCATTTCAAAATCCATTAGGTAATAGTATTGAACAATCTACTCTCAAGTAAGTTATTCATTAATACTTCTTAAAATCTTCTATTAATATTATTCCATATATAGACATACAATTTATGCACCTAGTCGAACTAATCGTTATAATGCTCGTGGTTTTCCAACTATAACTGATGCTATTGAAGATCGAAATATAACTATTATTCAACAACAAATATCTATTGTTACATATTTTATTCATTCTGCAATTACTGTTCTTCAATCTCCGAATAAGATTCAATCAATATAATAAACATTTTCTTTTCTATATATATATATATCGAGAATACAATATATGACTTTTAAAAGTTATAAAATAGATCAAATAATTTAAAGTGTTTGCATTTCTGTTACTGATTGTTGTTGTGTTTCTAAAGATGGTCGTTGTGATGTTATTCTTGAGGGTGTGGGTGTTGGTATAGTAGAAGTAACACCTACACCCACACTCACCCAGTGTTTCTAATAGCAAATGTACCAAGCATAATCAAAATGTATAGAACACTTACTCCTTTTGAAATACGCGCTGCGGTACACTTGCACCAAAAAGTAGAGTGTACGAAATACACTTTGTTTAATGAAATAACACTTTGCTTCTAATTCTCAGAATTTTTAAGAATAATGTGAATTTCAAAAGTTTTGTCTAAACAATGAAACATTGTGACCTTTTCTGATACAAATTATCATTCGTATCTTGGATAGATAATTGTACTTGCATTTATTGAGTATTTGTTCATGTACCATTGTTTAATGTTCTACGAAAGAAACGCATGCACATTCTTCTTTTTTTTCACTTCTTCATTTTATATTAAACGTCAAGTGTCTACACTTTGATACACTTCGCATACGAAAACAAGATGTACATATACACTTGACTAAGAAAAATAAAATGTACATATACAATTTGTTTTAGATTTCCATTAGAAACCCTACACCCACCCAAGATTTTATATATATGTATCGGCGTAGTTTCCAACATCTTGAAACGCAAGTGTAAATATACAAATGATTACAAAACGAACAAAAAGGTCAAAACATAATATAAAAATCATTTAAATCAAGAAATAAATGATAATGCATATGAATGGTTTGTTGCTCAAAGAGGAAAAAAATATTCCAATATTTAGTCCTGTACTTCAGGAATATATTCAACAAATTGGTAGAAAACTCAATGATTCAGGCAAATTGCAAACACGTTATAACATAAGCTTTAGAGAAATTTCTGGTGAAAGTCGAGCAGTTAATCAAAACACAATTATTGATTGAAAATTTCGATTATGCAGTTTTATAGGACATCATGATCCGGCAGATATATTCAACTGTGATGAAACCGGTCTATTCTACAAAGCTATGCCTGATAAATCACTAACTATTAACAAAAATGATTGCAAAGGAAGTAAAAAGACGAAGGAACGAATGACTGTAATGTTGTACACAAACTGGACAGGTGCTCAAAGATTGAAACCTGTTGTCACTGGTAAGTCAGCCTTCGTCAACTCTTATTTATGATTTAGGAAAATCTACGAGACCCAGATGTTTTAAAAATCTTGACATGAAGAAATTGCCAGTTTTGTGGTACAGCAATCGCAGTTCATGGATGACCTCGAAAGTGTTTACTAACTGGTTGCAAGATCTTAATTTCATGATGTGAAAAGAAAACGACATATTCTTCTTTTCTTAGACAATGCACCAGTTCATCCTTTGAATATAGAATTGGAAACTATTAAATGTAAATATGAAAACATTGTTCATCGACAGGTTACGAAACGTTTATACTGTACTTGGTAAGCATGTTCATTTATTTCAAATTTCGAATGATTTTTGATTATAAGAACTATTCCTGCGCACAGTAACTGTTATTGTAAGTTATCTTCTCTTTTATTTACATGGAAACTTCCTCTCGAATCAATGAAATAACGACAATTAGTCGACTTATTTGGCAATACATCTGGGTATATATAATACCAACACTAAGACTCTTTTCGCAGAATTTAAGCGTTTAGTTTTATTTATCATTTTTTTTCTAGATTCCTGCATTTGGACTTACAGTAACAAAAATTATTAACTACAGTACAAAAACAAAGATTAATATCGTAATATTAATTTATTTATTTTTTTACATAGTACATTTGATGATGACAATAATGAAAAAATGCATATATTTATTAAAACATACAGATATTTCAATACAATTAACAAGATTGTATACATGTAAAGTAAGCATACTCGTTTATTTAAAATCATGACTAACTTTTTAATATAGGAATTAATAGTCCGCATTATAATACTAATCATCAATACATCAATTGCGATACGATGTTTAAAAAAACAAGTTTTATGGTGGAATTAGTAAGTCAAGAAAACATTTCCGCATAATTTTTATTGAATTTTTCAGGTATTATCAACAGGATTATGTGTGATATCGATCGTTGACATGTGCTGTTACACATTTACTCGCGTCAATATTAACAGTTCAACAACACGTAAACCAACAACTGATATTGATGATTCCGCTTTGTAAAAGTAAAATAGAATCAATATGTTCTATTATATTTGACTCATTTTTTTTCTCTTGTTTGTCAGATATTTTTCTTACTCTTTTTTTCCATTTTTATGTCAGATGATTTTTCTTTATCTTTTTTAGATATAAAAAAAGAAAACCATTATGACGATTTCGTTTCAGTTTCCGAAATTTTAGAAAGGTTTCCTAGGCTCGTAAGGATATCTGAAAATGGGTTTGCATTCGTTTCAACCTTCGAAATCCTTTTCGGTTTCGTATCGCACCTACTTTTTTCCAGTGTGCCTTGTCCTGCTCTATATAGTGTAGCAGGACAGGATGTAAAAATTTATTCTGTCTACATTCCTGATGTATACTATTAGCAATATGTTATTATTCTTTTAGATGAATAGTGAAAAGATTCAAATGAATTCATCATCTAAATCTTGTGAAGAAAATCGTAAATTATATTCACCATGGTCCCCAGGGCGATGGTTCCTGAAACAGGATTCCATGAATTTCCGGCATAATCCCTGAGGAAACTTACTATTTCTAGGCGAAACCCGTCCGAAAAATGCCAGGAATCCGATGGACAAGTGAGGTGACCATATTCAGCTGCCGTTTTTGACATTTTCCTGTTGGCTCCGGACCAAACCAGATAAATCCAGTCACCGGATCCATTCAACGGGAATACTGCTTCCATGAAATCTCCGGAATACCACGAAATCGGCCGGTTCCGTGCCAGATTGTTCGACCTGGGTCTTCTCGTCTTCATCCATTAATATTTCTTCCGGTTTGGATTGTGGAGTTTGTGCTTGTCATCATCCTGTTAAAAAGTTTCATATATTTTATTGTACGTAGATGATGTTTGTCAATTAATATAATTCATATTCTAAATAATTTATATAGAGCACAACAAATGGTTTAACACGATTATCGGGTTATATTATGTTTTTTGCAGTATTATTTGCAACTTTATTATTAATTTATCGTGTTGGTGAATACTTAATAGATATGAAGGTAAGTAGATGTTAAAATCAAATATATTCACAAAGAAAAAACATATTGATTTTGTATATAAGTAAAGAAAATGATATCAGAGATGTTCATTGTAGTTGAAAATTGATCGTAGTCAGAGCTCCGAGTGAGATTGGATAGGATGGGATGAAAACATCGTTGCATGTGACAACTTGATTCAATTCATCGCATCTCACAGTATTGCCCAAAAAAAAAATTACCGTGTCATGAGACACATGACCTGGTAAAAAATTCTGCTTCAAATCTTAAAATAATCTTTGTAATTCTCATATTGACTTAAATCACTTTTCTCCATCTATTTCTCTTTAACTCTTTGAGTGCAAGATTATTTTTCAAAATAAAAGAAAATGAAAACGGTTAAAATTCGAAATGAACGTTTATTTGAAAGTCTATGACGGCATACACTATTCAAAGTAGTTGCAGAATGTGAGTCTCTGAGATATTCACAATGCATAGTTCCATGTCTCACTCTATACATTTACAAGAAGTTTTTCTTCCTCACTTGGGTTCTTTTATCGTCGCAAATCTCAGGACGAGAATTTTCGTCATCCATACTCGAAGAATTAGATAAGCTCATTCAAGAATCAATTTCTATGATAATGAAATAAGTTTCATTTTTTTTGCTAGCTAAGAAAAATGAATTGAGAGGATTAGGATCCTACTGAACTCTAATGAATTCTAAAGGAAATTCATTGAAATTCACAAAGATCCATCAGAGTTCAGGATCAGTTTTTATTTGTAAATTCCAATACGATTTATTTAGGTAACGGGAAGCAATGTCGTCTTTCTTAAAGAGACTTGTGTACGAAAAAATAAAATCGATGAGCAAAAATGGTGACAGTAATATGTGGTGTTTATATGAATCAGCCGAGTTCCTTTCGCATTCTGATAAACTTTAGTAGATTTCTTTAGACTCGAGTGAATTCCATCATTTTTGTGATTCATTAAAATTCAAAGATATTTTATCTTCATCCATTGATTTTCTCCAAAAGAATACTTATTATAGAGGCCGTTCTAAAATTGAATTGAAGAATGATAAAGACTTCTTTCGATCATGGATTTTTACCCATATGACTATTAATTACAGTTGTAAAATGTACACAAATTTCAACCGGTTTAAATAAAACAGAAATATACGAATCAGTTTCGTCTTTTACTCTTCCAATTCTGTCCAAGTTAATAAATGTTTTATGAAAATATTTGAAAAGAAGAAACAAGCGATAATGTCGCCATTGAAGAGTACACTGAACAAGAATACAATGAATCTTTTAATTCACTGCTCATTTAAAGTATTTGAAATTCATTTTGAATCACAACAAAATTTCTTTTTTATTCAGAAAATTAGGAAGAAAATGAAATAAGTTTTTCTTGTCTAAGAATTTCCAATAAAAAGTGTTACTTTTATTGTTTGGTCTAGAATTAGACAGTTTGTACATAAATAAGATTTTCTTATCATAATATATTTCAAACAGGAAGTGTGATAGACATTTGATTGTTTCTAAAAAACATATCTTTTGCTAATCTGAATATGTAAAAGAGATCGATAGATATGGACTGAAATTGATTGTTAAATGTTGGAAAATCAAACTGCTGTAATAAATTATTTCAAGTTTTTACTTTTTTTTACAGTCGAATAAAATGAATTTATATTTTTTGTGGATCGAAATCTATTATTTTTTAAATTTCATTTATTTGTTAGACGATTTATTTCAATAACAACAAATCTTCAAATTCAATAGATGAACAATCTTCGAGTTCAATAGATAAACAATCTGAAAAATCATCTCGTTTATTTATTATTAAATCTTATCTTCATAAATTTAATTATAAATACTGTTACAAAGTTAAATATGAACACAAACAAAATGAACATATTTTTTCTTTAGGTAACGTTGTTTAACAAGCGTATTGTTTTTCGTTGTTTTTCTTGTATAGGTGTACTATTTGTTTTTCTCAATGAATTAATCTCTGCTCCTCTATATTATGTATTCTTAATGTTGTCATTTTGTTTTACTAGTCAACACAATGTAAATATATATTACATTATGTACGATTTACCCAATGCTTTGTTTTCTTTGACTTTTGGATACTGAAAAATTCTATCGATTTGATCCTTATTTAAAATCTTGTTATTTATATATATATATTATTCATAGAACATGTTACCACATTGCAGTTAGGTATACATGTAAAGACAAATGAAATCAAAATTTTTTTACCAATCATGATTAATAATTTGACAATCTAATTTAGTTGTAGCACATTAAATTCTTTTACTTAGAATTGATTTATCTATACATTGAAAGTATTATTTAGATTATGCATAAACCAGTGAATTTTCTTTTTGTGGTTCCAATCTGGAGAAATCAAAATTAAAATCTTAATAGAGACTCAAAGAATTTTTACTATTCACTTACGATTACTATTGCACATCTTTCAATAGTATATCTTTTTGTTAATATTATTCAATTGTCATATATCTATTTATTAGGTGTAAAAAAATTGCTCAGTGCATGAATGTCCAAAAGTTTTAGAAGAACTCCATGAATTTCTTCTTAAAAACAATTTTGATAATCCTAATGAATTAATTTTGTATATTTGATAAATTTACCAAAGCTAGTTTTATGGATCAGATGAGAATTGAAGACAGATAATAATAACAGAAACTGAGAACTATGATATTAATACCTATTATTCAATCATTTTGTATCTTTTTTTTATGCTAAAATTTAAAGAGTCAACTAGAGGGTAGGTGTGGGTGTGAGTGTAGGTGTGAGTATGGTTCTGGGTACGGTTGAGTGAAGGCAATAGTGTAGGGATGGATGAAATACAACATTCACATCCATCCATACCCTCAAGATGGTTTTGATTCCATCTTCTTCTCTTGTTCTACCAAATAAATCAATGGTATGCTTCCAATTGAAGATATATCTTTTTCTTTTTCTTTCCACTGGAACTTAAATAATTATCTTTCACGTAATCCTGCTCAACGACCAATTTCATCATTCTTGATAGCAGCACCTGAACCAACTAATACAACAATATCTCGTTGTATTCAACGACCTTCATCTCAATTATGTAATTTCAACATGAAATGATATATTTTTGACAATTCAAACCAATTTGAACGGAAACACTCACATGATGAACAATCTCAAATATTAACTATTCAAAATATTTTTTTTTGTTTCTCAGTTACTAGTTCTAAACAAAGTCATACATTTTCAAATAAAAAACTGAATAATACTCATTAGTTCATCGTTTACTTTAATTCGAATCCTGTCTATTTCCACAATATTCATCAATGAGCATCATAAATACAGTTAATTAACATATCTTTATCTAAGTATAAATTAATAAATACCTTAGTTCATCAACTGTTGATTACACGGAGTATATTTTTTATTCTAAACACAACTATTTTCATACAATCAAAAAATTTTTTCTCTACAACCAATTCATTTTTGGAACAACAGCTTTTTCTTGATAAATTATAGCAAGCATGTTTTGAATGCCTTTGACATTTTGCATAATTTGACTCAATGAAAAGAAAACATTACCAAGTGCAAGTCGATCACGCATTGATCGAGTTATATATATTTGACGAATAATTTCATTTAATGACCAATCAGAAACACTTGGAACCGTTCGATAAAGTGCATTACCTGGATAAATATGACGACCTTTAACTGATTGTTCTACCCACCAATTAAGTAAAGCAGGATAAGATTGTGCTGGTGGATCAATTTGCCAATAGAGTTGTGGTGTCAAATAATCAACTAAACC